CCCACGTGTCGTACTGCCACGTGGCGGCTCTCCCGACGAGGTAAATCCTGGGGCCGACGGAGGCGACGCGCGCGTGGGCGAGTAGGGAGTGGAAGTTGTCGAGGGAGAGGGCGTCGTAGAAGGGGAGGAAGAGGGAGGGGTGCCAGGCGCCGTCGAGGAGCGTGGCGGCGGAGAAGCCGAAGGCGGTGGCGGCGATGGCGACGGCGGTGTGGCGGAGGAGGCGGCGGCGGCGGCGGAGCTGGGAGAAGTGGGGGCAGCGGAGGATGTGGGACCAGCGGCGGCAGACGAGGGAGAGGGCGGGAAGGGAGGAGGGGGGGAGGCGGGAGAGGCAGTCCAAAACGATGTCGTCCGGGAGGGAGGATATGGTGGGTGCGGGCGCTGGGGAACTAGGGTGGGGCTGCGAATGCGAGGAGAATTTGGCGACGGTGTCGTTTGGGTTGGGGAAGCAGGACTTGATGAGCCATGAGAAGTGGCGAGAGTTGCAACTTTCTTTTTCTCTTTCCGAACTCATGAGGTGAGGAATGGAGAGAAAGAAAGTGCGTGTGAGAGAGAGAGAGAGAGTGCCAATGAGGAAGTTATTACTACAAATAGTGGCACTTTGCCTGGGTTGAGTGTATGATAAAGATAATACCAACATCGAAGATAAAGTGAGGTGAGGTTTACACTACATTACAACCCTTGCTATCCGTGACTTACTTTTTTTATTATTATTTTTGTTCTTGTAGAAACAAATAGTTTTTTTTTATTTTATTGAAAATTGTGTCTGCAAAAGTATAATTTAGGTCCTGTATTTACAGAAATTTTTTCTGGAATAATATTTAAAAAAAAATATATAGAAATGAACCTCCTGCATTATATTTACATAACTAGAACTCTTTGCACGTTCAGAATTCGGTATCTGGAAATCCAAATTTTGACTTGTTATAGTGCCATCGAAGCTATAATTTGGCTGTTGGAATTCGGTTTCCAGGAGCCAAATTTCAAGCTGCCTTTACTTTTTTTTTCATTTTTATTAAATTGAATATTTTAAAAATAGAATTTTAATTTTTTTTAAATTTAATAAAATGTAATAATTAAATAAAATTTGGTTATTAATATTTAAAAAGATTAAGTTTTTTAAATATAATAAATTAAAAATGTAATTTATACCTATTATAAAATGGATACATTTTAATAATTACCTTTTTGATCTCCACTTTTTAGTGGACCTTTATATCTTTAATGTAAAAAAAAGTAATTCTTATATTTTCTATGATTTGTAATATTTTATTTTGTATAATTATTAGAAGCACAAAGTGCTTCAACCTCTCTAGTAAGTTATAATGTTATTAAATAATAATTTTAATAAGTTATATTTATAATAAATTTAAAATTTAATAAATAATAATTTTAATAAGTTATTTTTATAATAAATTAGAAATTTAATAAATAATAGTTTTACTAAGTTATATTTATAATAAATTAAAAATGTAAAAAATAATAAATATAATAATATATACAATTTAAATATCTTTATAATTACTAAATTTAATAAATTAGTATGTATTAAATATATTAATTATATTTGCGATAAAAATTACATTTATCAGACTTAAAACTCATTACAACAATAAATATCAATGATGGCGGTAACTAAATGCATGACCAATATTTGGAACAGTCTTCTTAGTGTGACCAGGAGTGTGACAATAGGAACAATTTTTGACACGATTGTGTTGTTCTCTAATGTCCATCTCTGTTATAATCCTGCTGACTTGGAAGCTCTCTTGAGTTCCGAATTTGGCCACAAAGTTGGACTAGTGTAAGTAGGCCAATAATCTTTGTGTCGGAGCTCTCCAAACTGTCCTTCGTACACCTTTGCATTTGCAACTTGTTGTGAGGTATATATTAGAGATATGTAGTTTTCATAGTCGTGATGTACATGTAAGCATGAAGCGAGTATATGCGAGCAAGGGATATGAACTTTCTGAAACTTGCCACAATCGCACCACATCTCATCTAGCCTTACTGTAAATTTTCCAGTGGCTCGAACTTCTCCCGGATGTTGCGTTTCTTCCACTAGAAATCTAAAGGTCCAAAATAACCTTTTGAATAAAAAACTCCCCTCGTCCAATAAGTCTCCTTGGTATGTCGGTTGCGTATTTAATTTCTAGATAAAGCCCGAAATATACATTTGCATTGCTTGCAACATACCTGATAACTTATTGTACGACTCCTCCTAATTTTCAAAGATGTTTTCAATGGCATGTTGCTTTCCTAACCATCCCTTTCTGTAGTTGATTGTATAACTCATCGTCGATTTGATGTGGGCTATGATGGTTGAGATGGGTGTGGATGGATGAACCTCAATAATTTCACGAATGGTTTGAGAAATCATTCGTGATCCTAATTTATTATGATCTTGTGAGATGAGTGGGGAAACACATGTGTGAGGGGCCTTCAAGGATCATGATTTTCCAATGTTGTTCTCTAGTGCACAATATAGCACGACATCTCAAACCACAGTCGTGGTGAATGCATTCCATGACAAGCCTAGTAGTGCTTGACAACTTAACCTTGTAAGTGTAGTGGTTGACAATGTGAAATCTGTTTATGGCGTCTTGCACTTGTTCTTTTGTTTGGAAGCGTTGGCCAACAAAGAGTGTTCTAAGTGGATACACAACCATTTCACGTTCTAGAAGATGGCTATACTCAGTGTCATGTTGTTGGATTTTATTGGGGAAGTCTAAATATTGTGGAGGTGGGTTGTATATGAGTAATGGTTCTACTGGTGGATTATATAATTCACTGTATCTTAATGTTATGAATTTTTTCTTTTAATGCACTCTCTCTTTATCAATGTAATATTTAAGTTATTAATATTATAAATTATTATCATTATAAATTATCAACATTATACACTATTAAAATTATACATTATTAAAATTATATATTATTAAAATTCTAACTTATTAAAATTATACATTATTAAAATTTTAATTTATTATAAAAATAAATTATTAAAATTATTATTCATCGATTATATTAATTCAAAATTTAAAAATTGTATGACATAAGTAATAATATTAAGATATATTTGGA